GAGGAGGAGGAGGAGGAGGAGGAGGAGGAGGAGGAGGAAGATGAGGAGGAGGAGATGGAGGAGGGCGAGGACGTGAGGACGAGAAGGAAGAAGGAGAAGGAGGAGGAGGAGGAGGAGGGGAGGAGGAGGAGAGGAGGGGGGGAGGAGGGAGGAGGAAGAAATAGAGGAGGAGGGAGGAGGAGGAGGAGGAGAGGAGGGGGCGGGGGAGCGTATCTCGGGGAGCCTCTTGGGGCCTCTTGGGGGTCTCTTGGGAGCCTCTTGGAGGCCTCTTGGGCGCCTCTTGGGGCCTCTTGGGGCCCTCTTGGGGCGCTCTTGGGGCGCTCTTGGGAGCCTTCGGGGCGCTCTTGGGGCCATGTTGGAGGAGATCTATCAAGGAAGGGGGGGTTGTCAATTAGCGCTGCCCCTCTAGAGTGCATCGAATCGCCTCTTGGGCCCCAAAAGAGGCCACACTCCTTCCAAAACCTAGGGGAAACAATGTGTTGTTGCTTTCTCGCCTTTTCGCTCTTGGAGCCGTCTTTGGCCATCTTGGACGCCCCAACGACCCGCGGAACCCCCCGTCCAGGTCCAGGGGAGGGGGTAGGGGGAGGGGTCAAGTTACCCCCTCCCCGCCCGCAAGCCGTTTCGCTCACTCCCACCCGCCCTCCCAACACATACGTAGCACCCGAGTCTGGCCCGAGCCTCAGCATATTCAGCAGTCGTCTTGGGATGGGGAGCTACTGGGGGTCAATCCGCCGCCGCCGCCGCTGCCTCCGCCGCCGCCGCCGCCGCTGCCGCTGCCCGCCGCTGCCCGCCGCCGCCGCCCCCGCCGCGCCGCCGCCGCGCCGCCGGCGCCCGCCGCCGCCGCCGCCGCCGCCGCCGCCGCCGCCGCCCCCGCTGCCAAACCGCCGCCGCAGCCGCAGCCGCTGCGCCACCGCCGCCGCCGCCGCCGCCGCCGCAGCCGCTGCCACCGCCGCCGCCCCCGCCGCCGCCTCCGCCGCCGCCGCCGCAGCCGCCGCAGCCGCCGCCGCCGCCGCCGCCGCAGCCGCCGCAGCCGCCGCCGCCGCCAAGTGTACCCATCGGTCGTTGAAAGTAAGTATTTTTGGATTCCCAGATTCCAATCTACTTTCAGCGCCTTCCTACTTCAAGAGTCGAGTGGTGTTCCCTCTTCCTTCCTCTTCAGGAGGCGTGCGGAAACCCAATATATTGCCAACGCCTTCCTACTTCATGTTTCTACCTACTTCTTCCGACCGATGGGTACTCTGTACTGTTTTTTGACAGGGATGGTGGGGGGGGCGCATCGGGTTGGCTACGCATGTTCCGAATTTGGAGGCAGAGTGTGTTTTGTATTGTTTTTTTTACAAAGGGATGGTGGGGGGGTGTCGGCATGGACTCGGGTTGGCCCCCAGTCGCCTGGGGAAGGGGTTGTATGATAAACCCCTCCCCTACGGGGAAGAAAGGGGGTTGGAAGAGGAAACTTTCTAGACCACCGACGCCCAGAGGGCTGGTGGGATTGCCTTGTGCAGTGTTCAGACCAGATAACGCATACACACCGTGATCGCGTCTCCTCCTTCCCTCGTACCTCACAACGACGCTGCCTACACCCTCCCGTGCTCTTGACAAGCTGTTGGTCCCTCCCTCTCAGCTTCGACGGTCTAGGGTAAACCAAAAGCCCTTGCCCATATCCAGGCACGTTTGTTGCAGGCACCTTGCTACATAATGCACAGGACAAGCATATTTCTACACAAGGTGTGGCTTTTTTTTACTGTGCAACACTAGCCTATGCCGCAAGCTGCCGCCGCCCTTTGCAAGATCGCAGTCGGTACTGTGCCATGTGGCATTTCTACTATCGACGACGTGGGTTGACATGTAGGGGGTCGGGCACTTTTGGGGTGGGAAGGGAGCAGTATTAGATCATACTCGACGTTTTCAGGGCCAACTGGAAAACCCTCGCTCACAGCACGGGCGCGCTCGCTACAGGTACTTCGGCACACGATGCACACGCCAAGCCTGTATCTGTTCAGGCTGTGTATTCTTTCAGTGTGCAACACGAGCCTATACCGCAAGTGGTTACGGCCAGTGCCTTGCCCACTTGCAGACGGTACGGCTCTCGGACTAGGTGGAGAACCATCGTATACATCCGCAGTATAAGCTCGTTTTTTCTATCGACAGCGCCAGCCACATACACTTGTCAAGTCAGTACCTGCACAAGCTAAAGTTATTCCTAATCTAATGCCATGCCATGTGCCCCCAGTGCTATGCCAGTCTACACAGACCAGCCTACAGCACAGGCCAGCCTACACTGGCCAGCCTACACGCTTTCTACTGGCCAGCCTACACAGGCCAGGCTTCACAGCGTACCCAACCAATTCTGTCACCCTTCTCACATGCCGACCCCTCGTACTCCAGACACGAATACGGTGACGGTGGCCCATCCACTTAGGAACCGAAGAGCGGGCCGCGTGTTGGCTAAAAGAGTGGGGCTACTGCTGGCAAAAGAGGGATCATTGTACAACACGGGCCTACAATGGCGTAGCTTGCACATGTTTTAACCATATTGTTTAGAGGATGTTTGGCACAGCTACCATACGCAACCACACTCGGTTCGCCATGCGCCCGCTCTGTTGACTTATACCTTGCTCAGCCGCACACCGTTGGCTGACACCAGACGCCATGTTTAATACATGCAGTTTCCGTCGCAGCATCCAGAGTACCAGGATATATTATTCGGAGGGGTCTTACCAGCGCATTCGCCGAGCCTGTATCTGCATTCGCTGCCACCCTCCTCGTGCGCCACATCTAGCCCGTTCCACAGCTACTGCTTCAAAATACCAGCAGAAATCGCGTCATGAAAAACGGAGAAGGGCTGACAGTTCAGTTGTTCTTGTTCCCTTGCCGTGGACACGTGAGCAATCTGCCCAGGCGCACGTCATGGGAAACATGCCGCGTGCTTTAGCAGCAGCACTTTGATTGGGCCCGCTATCTTTACACAACCACACTAACTCTTGCTTCCATGCTATCATATCCGACCCTCCTCTCTCTGCATCGCGGTGACTGCCACAGCCAACTCGTTTCTCGTTTGCCTTTCTACGGCGCCACCAGACGGCCCGTGTACTGAAGAAATGTCAAGGAGACTGCCGTCTACACCGCGTCATTCGGTGCATCTTTTTTTTGATGTTACTTGCCATCGGAGGAGGCACTACCAATGAAACGTTGGGGGAATAGGTCTTATTTACTGATTGGGGGTACTTGGTTATTCAGGGTACTGCCAACCTCGAAGACCTGGCGGGCGCCTACTCTTTTTACGATTCCCGGCCTCATATGTACTTATGTCTTGTTTCGTGGCGTCCGCCAGGTGCATTTTGACCCGAGTTGTGCACTAGATTGTGTTTGTTGATTCATTTCAAAAACGCCACAGGGAAACCTTAGGTTCGTCGAACGTAAAAGAAGGAGGAGGAAGAGGAGGAGGACGAGGACGAATACGAGGACGAGGATGCGGAGGAAGAGGAGGAGGAGGAAGAGGAGGAAGAGGAGGAAGAAGAGGGGGAGGGGGAGGGGGAGGGGGAAGGAAGGACGAGGAGGAGGTGGAGGAGAAGGAGGAGGAGCAGAAAGAGAGGAGGAGGAGGAGGAGAGGAGGAGGAGGAGTAGAGGAGGAGGAGAGAGAGGAGGAGGAGGAGGAGGAACAGGAGGAAAGAAAGAGGAGAGATGGGAGAGGAGGAGGAGGAGGAGGAGGAGGAGGAGGAGGAGGAGGGGGAGGAGGAACACGGGGAGGAGCAGGAGCAGGAGCAGGAGGAGCAGGAGGAGCAGGAGGAGGGGCGATGAGGAGGAGAGAGGAAGAGAAAGAGGAGGAGGAGGCGGAGGAGGAAGAGGACGCGGGCGAGAACAAGGACGAGGACGAGGAAGAGGACGAAGACGAAGACGAGGACGAGGACGCGGAGGAGGGAAGGCTTCCTACTCCTGCTCCTCGTGTCTCGAGGGCGGGGGGGAGGGAAGGCATCCTCCTCCTGTGAGCGCCCACGGCGCGGGCAGGAGGCAACTCCACGCTGATCCTCGGCGCCGAGGGGGCCGACTGGACCACACACAGCGCGTCCCTGGGCGCGAGGGGCAGGAGGAGTGGGGAGGAGGAAGAGGAGGAGGGGTAAGAACAGGATGGACAGGAGGAGGCTGAAGACTGGGGCGGAGGAAAGGGGGAGGGGGAGGAGATAGGAGGGGAAGGGGAGGAGAGGGAGGGGGGAAGGGGAAGGGGGAGGAGGAGGAGGAGGAGGAGGAGGGAGGAGGAGGAGGAGGAGGAGGAGGAGTAGGAGGAGGAGGAGGAGGAAGGAGGATGAGGAGGAGAGGAGGAAGGAGGAGGAGAGGAGGAGGAGGAAGGAGGAGGAGGAGGAGGAGGAGGAGGGGGAGGGGAGGGGGAGGGGGAGGGGGGAGGGGAGGGGGGAGGAGGGAGGAGGAGGAGGAGGAGGAGGAGGAGGAGGAGGAGGAGAGGAGGGGAGAGGAGGAGGAGGAGGGAGGAGGAGGAGGAGGGGGAGGACAGGAGGAGGACGAGGAGGAGGAAGAGGAGGAGAAGGATCGCGCACGCGGCGGAGGGACGCGAGTTGCCTCACGCCCCACACGCGCCCATGGCTGCGGGCGCTCGGATGTCCCCGTCGAGGGCGGCGTTGATGACTTAGGACATGGAACACGGGAGGTGGGAGTCCGGTGGCTTTGCGCGCAAGGCGGCCAGGCCTCCGACCGCTCACCTTCTGCTGCCCCTCCCCGCGCTCAGCCGGTGTCCAGACCGCCGCCGCCGCCGCCGAGGTAAACGGCCTCCGCACTCCTCACCTCCTCAGCTTGTCTCGCGCTCGCCTGGGCGGCCGTACCTGCGAGCACCAGCGGCTGGAGCTCCACGGCCACGTCTTGGCTGACCATGGTCGCCTTGCTCTTGGCGAGCCGTGCCAGCGCCAGGCGCCCTTGGCGTTGGGAGGCCCGCACTCCCTCTTGAAGGAGCAGGCGCGCGCGGTTTTAACCGTACTGCAGGCCAGGCACGCCACGAACGGCAGCTCACGCCGCAGTTCAGCGTCGCGCAGGACACTGATGCGCGCGAGCCGATGCGGCCTCCTGCCAATGTCCAGCAGGACCTGGCAGTGCTCGAGGGCGTCCCGCTCGATCGAGCCAGGGCAGGCCGACTTGCGCTCGGCCCACCTGCAGACCTCGCACCACTTGCCCCCAGAGGCGGCGGCGCCGCGCAGCACGCATGCTCGCCACGGCGTTGCAGGCACTCCGAGGCCCTCGGCGGGAGCCCTCCAGGCGCCTCGAACCACCTTTCGATGGGTGGTGGTGTCGGCTCCGTCAACCGCGGAGCCGATGGCGGCCAGCCACGTGCCCACGCCTTCCACCTGCTTGTCAGCACACAGCAGTCGCTGACGGTCTGCTGCGGGCATCCTCCCAGCTGCGGTCGCCGACCTCGCTGCGCGGTCCGCCAGCCCATTGCCGCGCCAATTGTGCAAGCTGGTATGGACTGCTCGCACCTAGGCCTGCGTTCAGTGGCTCTTGACTGTCTCGATCACTACATCGTGGATGGCGACCCGCCGTAGTCGTCAATGAGCCGCCAAGCGTCACGCCACAAGTGCGACCACGCGTACGCGTAAGAAGTTGTGCGTTCCTGCCCTGACGTCATGACGCCTTCCACGACGAAGCTGGAGTCCGAGACGACGCGCAGCGTGGGCGTGTCCATGCGCAGCGCCTGCCCGCCGGCCTCCAGCTCCGCGCGGTCGATGTCGACATGCTCCAGGTCGAGCTTGCCCGAGGTACGAACTAACCCAGCTCGTCGATGACAATGGCCGACCACCCAGCGCTGGCATAACGCTCGTACTCGCCCTCGAAGACCGAGCCGTCCACGAACACCTTGCCAGCAGGAAGAGTACCACCATGAACGCCGTTCCAGCACACCTGCCCACGCCTGAAGGGCAGCTGAAGCCCTCTCGGTGCAGCCCACAGCGCGCGCTCCAGCAGCGTGCGCACCTCCAAGCTCGCATGCTGTCGCAGCTCGCGGATCCTGGCGGGCAGCGCTACATCCACAGGACGGGCAGGACAGTCACAGTGCGTATGCAGCAGCGTGCCGGGTTGACCACAGCACCTGCAGTCCCCGTCGGCAGCCATGCTCTGCGCGTGCTTCCGCGCCTGCGCCCACTGGCCGTTGCACACGGCCGACATCAGGTGGCCTCTCGCCTTGGGCGTGAGCCGGACCACCTCGCCCGCCGCCTGGTGCACCTCACTGCGCTGCACCTCCTGCCCCGCACCAGGGCGAACGACCTCCTCTCCTCGTCGGCGCACTGCGGCATGCGGGTAAGGCCCCGGCGAACCATGGTCCGGAAGACCTCGTCCAGAACGCGGAAATCATTTTATGTCGGGCATGTCTCCCTACAGGCGGGTTTTGGACGATTAAAATACTCCAAACATATTCCAAACTTACCCTGGCGACGTACCCAACCCCTGCGCAAAAGCGGGGCGCAAATAGTTTAGGATACTTTATAAGGGGGCGATGACGGAGCGAGGGTTACATATGTCTGCAGACGGAATTCGGGAGACTCGCAGGACACCGGCTACAGGAAAAGGGCTTGATAAAGCTGATGAACTACAATTCCTGAGCACTCCTAGCCACTTCGAAAACGGGGATCACAGCAGGCCTCGAAAGTGGCGACAGGTTCGCAGATCGCAGCCCCCCAGGGATG